GTAGAGTGCTGTGGCATCACAGCTCACAGCAACCTCAAACTCTTGGGCTTAAGCGATTCTCTTGCCTCAGCCTCCCAAGTAGCTGGAACTATAAGTGCCTACCACAACACCTGGCGATTTTTTGGTTGCACTTGTCATTGTTGTTTAGCTGGCCCCGGTCGGGCTCAAACTGCCAGCATGGGTACATGTGTCTGGTGCTGTAACCACTGTGCTATTGGGCCCCAAGCCAGCCTGGCTATTTTTAGACATGAGGTCTCGCTGTGGCTCAGGCTGGTCTCAAACCCTTTAGCTCAGGCAATCCACTTGCCTTGGCCTCCCAGAGTGCTAGGATTAATAGTGTGAGACACCTGGTGCAGCCCCCAAATCATTAACAATTAGTTACCAAGGGCAGCACCTGTGGCTCAGTGAGTAGGGCCCCGGCCCCATATAACGAGGGTGGTGGGTTCAAACCTGGCCCTAGCCAAACTGCAACAAAAAATAGCTGGGCATTGTGGTGGACGCCTATAGTCCCAGGTACTTGGAAGGCTAAGGCAAGAGAATCGTGTACTCCCAAGAGCTGGAGGTTGCTGTGAACTGTGATACCATGGCACTCTACCAAGGGCAACAAAGTGAGACTCTGTCTCTAAAAAAAAAATAAGAAAATAAAAAAAAATTGGTTACCAAACAAGCCCAAGTACTTGCACATTAAACAACATACTACTAAATAATTATTGGGTCATAGTAAAAGTTCACAAGTGGAAAATAAAATATTTCTGGATTAATGATGAACTATAATATATGAAATGTGTAGCATGCAGTTAAAGAAGTGCTTTGAGGACCGTCAGTGGTGGCTCATGCCTGTGATCCTAGCACTCTGGGAAGCCGAGGAAGGTGGATTGCCTGAGCTCCAGGATTCGAGACCATCCTGAGCAAGATCGAGACCCTGTCTTTAAAAATAGCCCAGCGTTGTGGTGAGCACCTATTGTCCCAGTTACTCTGGAGGCTGAGGCAAGAAAATTACTTGAGCCCAGGAGTTTGAAGTTGCTGTGAGCTATGACACTACAGCCCTCTACCAAGGGTGACGAACTGAGACTCTCAACAAAAAAAAATGCTTTGGCTTTGTGCCCATAGGTCAGTGAGTAGGGCACTGGCCATATACACCAAAGTTGGCGGGTTCAAGCCAGGGCCTGCTAAACAACAATGACAACTGCAACCAAAAAATAGCTGGGTGTTGTGGCAGGTGCCTGTAGTACCAGCTATTTGGGA